TCAGTGTTCAGGGTGAAGGGAAACCATCCGCTATGGTCCCAGTTGGGAAGGAAAACCATGAGACACAGGTGAGCGTCAAGAAAGGGGGACTGAGTAAGAGTGACTACAAACTGATTCCCATCATTTCTGTAAATATTGTTTATAGTTGTGCTAGCAAGAGAAGGAAAGAAGAGAGGAAAAAGAAAGAGGAGAGCAGGGGAGGGTAGAAGGGCAGATGATGGAGGGGAGGGGAGATGAGACGAGTAGAAGACATGGGACAGAAAGAGTTCATTGTGATTAGGACCAAGAGGAATGCAGTTCCTTTGGCTGAGTGGTGATTTCACTGTTTATGCTTACTTTGCACACTTACATATAGTTTAATCCTTACAAGCTCATGTTCAAACTAATCCCCCTCCCCCCTCTCAAAACTGGTGAACATGCTGAAGCATCTGACACGACAACTGGAGTTTTTGTTCATACTCCTTGACACAACACTTGTCTTCAATGTCTTTGCTTGTGAGTGTAAAGAGGAGTTTCTCAACCGTGTGGTGGTGGCCCATGCCTTTAATCCCAGCACTCGGGAGGCAGAGGCAGGTGGATCTCTGTGAGTTTGAGACCAGCCTGATCTACAAGAGCTAGTTCCAGGACAGCCTCCAAAGCCACAGAGAAACTCTGTCTTGAAAAAACAACAACAAAAAACAAACAAACAAAAAAGATCAGTTTCTCCCCCTCTCCTCTGGTAAGCCACTCCAGCTTGTGGTGTGCTGTACTTCGGAAGCATGGCATCTGACTCACACCCCTACTCTCTTAGACTCTGGGAATCTCTTCTAGGTTTTCAATACATAAGGAATTTGGACTTGCACTATAGTTCCAGGGTCAATCAACTTCTTGTCGAAAGGGCAAGAAAATAAACATTTCAGGCTCCATAGCTCCATTGTAATGACCCCTGCTGCTGTAGAAAACAAAGAAGTGGTTGTGCTGCATTCCAATAACACTAACTTCTCCTCAAGTTCTTGGGGGCTTTGAGCATCTGTGAAAATCTGAGGGCTGCATGCTGCCATGTTTGTGTCTAAAGTCAAATTCCTCGAGACAAGTGTCAAGATAGGTCCTCCTTCCCCTGTAAATGGTTGAAAATCCAAGTTCCTGGTGGTAACCTGGGGAGTCAGCATATCCTTGGTTTTTGTTAGTATTCTCTTCAAGCACCCAGTCTTTGTTTAGTTCAATCCCCAGTGAGGAAAAGAGAGAAAGAAAATCCTGGCTCACTGCTATACTATACTCTCCCTTCCCGACATATTAGTGTCAGGAGCCATGTCATTAGGACAATATGGGTTGTATGCACATTGGCAGCCGGGAGTATCCCACAGTTCTCTTGTTCCAATCCTGCGGTGCCATGCTTTTGCCTTATTTTCACCCCTATGAAAGGAAATCTTTCTCCCTTCAATTCCACCCTGAATCCTATTTTGTTATAACTCTGAAGGTGTGACACTTTGAATGTGAAATGCCCCCCAGACTCAGGTGATAGGCCACTTGGTCTCTGGCTCCCGTGTTGTTTTCACATACTGTGAGATATCTGAGAGGAGCACCCAGCTGAGGAAGTGAGTAGCTATCAGGGTGAACCTTGAGGTTTATAGCCTGCCCCCTGCTGTGTCCCGTCTCCTTTTCCTGGTTGTGGAGATGTAAGCAATACCATCCCAGCCCTGCTACCATGAAGGACTGTACCCTCAAACCACCAATGAAAAGAATGTCTGCCCTCCTTTACATTGCACCTTTAAGGTCACAGTCATGGGAAATGTAACTAACACACCAGGGGCATCTCAAGCCTCGGGAACTATGTCACTCAGTCATTTCCTCATTTCAGCTCTCCTCCAGGCTCAAAAAGCTCATTTTCTCAGAACACCATTTCCTTGGTGCCTTGAAGCTACATATAGTGCAGAGACCTGCCTGTTTTCCACTTCGGTGAGTATACTCTACTCTGCAATGGTCCCCATACACTGTATGCGAAAAATGGAGCTAACCTTTATTTACTAAATGCCGTGGTTTGAAGACAAATGTCCCCCATAGTTTCATGTATTTGAACCCTTGGTCCCGAGTTGGTGGCATTATTTTGGGTAGGTATAGGTGGTGTGGCCTTGGTGGAGGAAGTATGTCATTGGAGGAAAGTTTAAAGATTAAAAGCCTCTCACCATTTCTAGTTTGCTCTCTCTGCTTCTTGCTTGCCATCAGAGCTCTCAGCTTCCTGCTTTGGCTCTTGTGCCTCTTGTGTGCTGTCATGCCTGTCCACCATGATGGATTCTTATCCTCTGAACTGTAAGTCAGAGTCAACTCTTCCTTCTAAAAGCTTTGGTTTTATTTTTTTAATCATAGCAATAAAAAAATAACTAATGTACTAAGTAGTACATTAGTATTTTAGGCCTTCAGAGTCCCCATTCCCAGGAAGCATGGGGCCTTCATATACTGGAAACCTTTAGTTGACCATTTTTCTGTGGTGCTAGGGTTGGAATCCAGGAACTTATGCATGTTATTCTACAACTGAGTTATGCCCCAGGTCTGGTCTCCTGGTTACTGCTCAACAGTTAGTATGGAAAACCTCCCAAGTTTATAAGCAGAGGAAAGTAACAGCCACCCAAACCTGCAGATTTTTTTTCTCTAATCCCTTGGAATGGATATTTAAATTCTCTTTGAGAAAGAACACAATCATGCCTACTCATAGTCCTAACCCCAAGGATTTGGGGGAAAATATGTATGTTGAATATAATTAGAGCAAACTGTGGTCAAAGCCAAAATGTTAATATGTACCTTTAACCGTTTCTTCTGGAAAAAGGAGGAGGTAGGCAATTAAGAGTATTTCTCCTTCTTGCATCCTACCACATATGAAGGCACCTACCATAATAACCTTTAAATTAAAACACGTGTATATTTCATTTGCATGGCAAGCTTTGTATTTCATGGACAATTTTGTTTTACTCAAATCATGGCCTCCAAGGAGGAAGCATCCTGAATTAAGGGCATTTTAACATGAAGGGTTAGAATGGACCGTCTCATTTTCATACTTTGCTGTCAAGTGTGAAGAAAAACACTATAGTAGAAAATACTCCAGTTCTGGTTTGTTTATGATGTCAGTGTCTAGTGTCTAGTGGCTGTAAACCTTGAAATCACAAAATTGCTCAAAGCTTGCAATTGAAACTTTATTTCATATCTATTGTTAAATTACACAAAATCAGTGAACGATTTGTAAAGCTACACCACTGAACAGATGTTTACAGTTTTGAAATTGTAGGATTTACATGATGATGACAAAAATGTATATTTATACCATTCTCTATATACAGTAATCAGTAGAGACAGAGAAAATGTACTTAATCTCTGCAAACCATGCACACCACAGCAATAACACATTTTTTTTTCTGTAATGAGCTTTTCCACTGGCTCAGACTTTGTCCTGCTTTCCAACACTGTCAATTTTAAGAGCAAACATTTTCAATTAAAACTAAAGAAACTGAAATACCATAGTGATCTACAGAATATTTTAAGAACACAATGTACACCAAATAAGTTTATTCTAAAACACTTTGACTTCAAGATGTGCTTTTAAAAATTCCTTCCAGTTTTTTAAAGGTATCATAATTCTCAACACTGCAATACCCCAAAACAAAAGCTGTAAATATTGTTACAGAGCTCAGAGTCAAAAAATCACTTTAGACCCAGATACTCAACTTCTTGTCCAACTCGTGGCGATATTATTAAAGATGAAAGCAGGTCATGCACTTGGGCAGACTTACTGGATAGGACTTTATGATCATACTTCTAAGCATGTTCCTCTTTAAAACAAATGCCACTTCTAGTCACCTTGTTTGATGGAAAGCCAAGGGATTAATGTAAGTTCTTATAGAAGCGTAGCAACAACCGTGAAGTGGAAACTGCCAAGCAGTATGATGTTTAACCACCCAGTGGGTCCCTAATTCTTCCTTTGTTCAATTTGTAATTGATGCCACCAATGTGTAATTACACAGACTTACAACACCAAACTATTCTCAACTTGCATGTCCCTGAAACTTAGGTTCACTGCAGAGCATTCTTCCCTTTTGATCTTTCATGAAAATCTGGTAAAAGTGTTAACCTCAAGTATCAAGAGGCAGCTTTTGGTGTTACTGAGTAACTCTGGCTATCTTAATGCTTAGTACCATTGTCTTTGAGGAAAAAAAAAAACTTTGCTCTTGTTATTGTGTACAAATCTTTCCACACACACACAAAGAACCATGGGCCAGAAATAGCCAGCCAAACTGGAAATATTACAATAAACGAAATAATGAACAGTTCACATTCAGGTTCAATTCAGTCTGGTCAAGAAGAATAAGTTCAGCAATATTTAGAGACACATATTCTGTTTGTGAGTTTCTTGTTAAGGACCTTACTGCACAGACATTGATAAGACAATTCTATAGAAAGTCCTGACTTTAATCCAGGCTTAAATACCACAAGAGATTCAGCAACACACCATTTAGATGATGAAGAAAAATTCTATACATGGATTTATTTGGAATGAGCACAACTCGGAGAAGCCTTAAAGTGAATGAGAAGCAGCGCCAAAAAGATTGAAATTGTTGAAATTACAGTGCCCTGAAACCATCTGGAAACTGGATCTTTCCATTGGTATTCCATTTGGGAAAAATGCTTTGTTAATATGAGATATACCCTGTTTAAAACCTTTTAATCAGCAGAAGGTAGAAAAATTTTAAATTTTAAACATCTGTTAAATTACAAGACATGAATCCCAATCTATTTAAAATGCCATATTTTTACATAAACCCACCTACATTTAAGTGAGAAATTGTTTACTTTCTACAGTTTGGCAAAATTTATCATCCGTTGTTTTTCTGTTTAAATAGACTCCTTGTTAAAACAAGAAGGAAATGAAAGGTTTGAGTGTCTTTTAGTCTGCTCATGTTTTTACTTATGCTTTCCTCTGGCAGGCGGGGGTGGGGGGTGTTCTCAAGATTGGGTTTTAACAGAGTATCCGGAATCATTTAAAAATCTCTTTCTTAGCCCTAAGTTTAAATGGCCACATTTTGTGTTTTCTTTGTGTCTCCATAGCTAATTTAAGAACTTCCTAAAATATCTAAACTGCAATTTCTGGTGAGTCTGGTTTGGCTCTTGGATTACAGAAATAGTTCATCCCCCCAAAAGACAATTTAATTACACACTGAGATTTGTTTTAGCCACACACAGTGTAACACTGAATCAAAAGGCAACTGTAAAGGCAACATATACACTTTTTTTGAACTTCCAAAATGAAGGAAGCAGGATGTGTTTGGCCACTTTCATCTTGTAAGATACACGCCATCTTTTTGGTGGTGCTTTGGGAAGCAGTGTGCATGCGCCTTTCAGGGCCATTAGCGCCATGTCTCTACGCTGCCTATGTAGTCATTGGTGCCATTGCTGGTGCTGCTATGACTCTGCTCCTGGCCCGAGCCCTGCTTCTGACTTCCCCGGTTCTCCTTCCGGATCAAATTGGGTTTGGAACTCTGAGTCAGGTTCTGACTCACATTCTGAGTCAGGTTCTGATTTGGGTTGGGATTTGGACTCTGACTCAGGTTCTGCCCTGGACTCTGGTTCTGGCCCTGACTCTGACTCTGACTCTGACTCTGACTCAGGAAATGGGTCTGAAGGAACCTTCCCTTCAGAAACTTGCGTTGCTCCTGGCGCTTCCGCCTGGCATCCTGATGCTCTTTCTGCCTCATGAACTGATACCTTTGCAGAAAGAGATCCTTCGCAAAGCTGTACAACTCCATATCCAGAAAATTCAGTCCCTCAATACGCTTTTGGATTTCCTCATTGATCTCTACACTAGAGGCCCTAGTGGTGTTGTATTGGGTAAACGGCGAAATAAAGTTCATGTTGAAGGTCTTCTCAAACAGGTACTGGGTCTTACGCTGAAACTCGGTGAGGCCAAAGAATGCCATGTGCTTCAGATTGGACTTGGCGCTTTCCAGAAGGACCTTGTTTCTTTGCTTTTCAGGCATGACAGAGAGGTTGTAGCAGCCCACTAGAGTCAGGTCAGACAGCATGCGCACTTGGCGGTTGTTGGCCAGATTATAGGGGCAGTCCATGAACTCTTTGAGAAGGCAGCCAGACCAGTCGTCACCCGTGTAGCAGCTGGGCAGTTCCTCAGAGGTTGGGGGCCTTCCATCACAGACGTGCAGGGATGCTTTCCAGGTCGCCCCTCTCTGGACATGCCTCCATTCGCTCAAGTACCGGGACACCGGGTCTCGGAGGATGGTGATATAGTGGAAGTTCCTATGGATAAAGCATAAAGACCACAGTCAGAAGTGTGGTGACATAAGTGCAGTCAGAAAGGTGTGTGGCATATGTGTTGTTCATGGTCACTAAGGAATGCAAGAGAGGAATGAGAGATCTAGTGGCATTTGTTCTGTGAACTGTGTTGTGGTCCCCTCTTTATATCTAGCCTGACCAGATAGGTAATTAATTTATCCAACTTCCCGACACTGTATCCACAGCAGGCATCAAAAAAAGTTTGATTCTGGATAACAACCTTCTTTTCTTTTGCCCTCTTTTGTTCTCTTCCCAATGATGTTATTGTACCAGTGTGCAACCAACTTATTTTATACTCTGAACCCCTAAACCCTTATTAAAGCAATCACAAAATGGAGACTCAATTGAAGCAAATGACTTATGGAAGTGCAATGGAGTTGATAAGGGTGCTAAATTTCTAATGTTTCTTATGAACGATGCACAAGCATTTTTTCCAATAACCTGATCTAATCTGGAAATGTTATGCAAAAAGAAAATCACATCAAAACTCTTTGACATGATACTCTCTACTTTGGCTATTGCCAGAATGTTATGGCTCATAACTAGAGAAAATGAATATACAGAAAGGTAGAAAATCCTAGGGTCTCCAGAAATAAACACAGTGATAAACACAGTGGTTAGTCACAGACTAAAGTAGGCATGCATCTGCCAATGGCATACAGGCAAGTATCTACCTTTGCTTACACAGTACCATTCCCAGGACAAGAAAGTTAACTCTGTCTGCTCCAAAATATCCTTTTTCTTTATTCACTGAACAGATGAACAAATATAACAACCATGGAAGCTTTGCTGGATGGCCTTCTAAAGGTCTCTGCACAAACAGCAGACTAGTAGACTTTAAACTTACTGGCTGACACACTCAACCGCATACATTACATATACTCTTGTGGCCCACAACCCAGATACACCGAGGTCCATGTGGTTAGGCATAATCAAAGAGAGAAATTCCTCCACAAATGTGCTTTTTGTGAGACATGAATGGTCACCCACATACAGTAGATGAGGGATGAGGTTGTTGGAAAGGTATAGCTGTGGTAGGAAAACAACAGTAAATACTGAGCATTCAGATTTCTTAAAGGAAACTTGGGGGATGGCTTCCAACTTTTCTGATTTTGTCGTTTCCATCTGAAGGAATTGTGGATGCTCTCTAAGAGGAAATGGAGGACATTCTCAACTACCTGCCCTATTCAGAGTTCAACAAGGAAAGGTTTCTTCTAACTCAGACTCAGGGCCTCCTGTTATGTGGCATATGTGGTGCTTCATCTGTCTGGCACAATCTTTCTTCTTTGTCTAGAAGATTATACTCACCCTTCAAGTCCAGTTCACGTACCATCCGTCTTTAGAAAACCAAGCCTACTGTCTACTGCTGGCATTTCTTCTTGACCGGTGTTACCATAGTACTTCCATACTTAGTCGAAAACTCTTTTCATACTGAATTATAATTACTCATTTGTATCCCTACTCAAACTGTTCCCTAGAACACGGACTGTCCAGTTTCTGTAACTGTTGTCTCACCCACCCCAGCTTTGCATATTAGTGTTTGTGCCTGTCCAAAACATAATCTTAGCAGACTTTCAACTGCTCACTTAAGGAACCATTCCAAGTAAAAGGAAGGCCGGGGCTGGGGACATGGCTCATTCACAGAAAAACTCTTAATCATATCGAAAATGCCTTATGAATACCACAGCAGGATGTTCTGTTTTAAAACCACCTTATACATTTTCATGGAATAAACAATGATTGGGCACAGAATCTGGGAATAGGAATAAAGAGTGGGCTGAGTATCTTCATTCATCTCTCTGAACCTTTTCTAGGACATAACTGTGCTAATACCACTAAAATGTATCTCTGAAAAGACCCATTACAGAAGAGTATCAATTTCTGTTTCTCAGTATCCTTTAGGAATTCAGATAAGATTTTAGTGGCAATTAGCCTGATCATTAGAAAAAAGAAATTTATTAATCCAAATTTTTCAGGCATGCATTGTAATGGGGACTCTTGTGCAGGGGATGAAGTGGGGGTACTTAACCCTCATAACGAAGTCAACTTCATGCATAGCTGACATCCCTCCCACCCTTATTTGCTTTGCTGGTTTAAGTCTACAGTGAATCGTCTGGCAATTCTTAGTGCAAATTTGTGGCTTTCCTTTCCCCAAACTTATCCTTTCAGACCGCATAGAGCCAACTACCAAGATTCGGTGTGAATCATTGTTTTATAAGCACCATTCATACATGAAAGGAAGAAAGAGAAAACAAAGAGTGACTAAGATGGATAGTACTCTAAAAGTCCCTTGCATTATACATGGAATAATACAATATGCCTCTGAACCAGATGTCACCTGTAGGAAATGATGACATGGATGGTGGGAGCAGTCTCAATTTCCATACTGTAGTATTATCACATACACACACAGCCCACACACAACTACCTTGGTATATAACTACATAGATACATAGATTAAGGTAGCAAAAAATGGAGATTATGTTAATAGCTCCATCAATCCAGGGAAAATAGTCTCAGGGACCTAGATGTCTCAATTGGGAGTGTCTGATACTGCTGAAAATATGTCTCAATGCTGAAAAGGAAGATGGTCTGGAGTTACCTTGTATTCTGGAGGTGGGAAAACAAGTACACATAATATACTTGGGTCTTGGAAAAGGGCTCATTTGGGAAAGTGCTTGCCTTGCAAACATGAGGACCTGATTTCAAGCCCCTGGAATCCATGTAAAAGGCCAGGTGTATAGGGTGTATCTGTAATTTCAGCATTGTGGAGGTGGAAACATGGAATTCACTGGTCAGCCAGATTAGTTTAATCAATGAGCTCTGGGTTTAGTGAGAGACCTTGTCTCAAAAGTAAGGTGGATAACCATGATCACAATGACCCTTTGGAGGCCATTGGAAACCGAAATTGTGTGTGTGTGTGTGTGTGTGTGTGTGTGTGTGTGTGTGTGTATGTGTGTGTGTGTGTGTGTGTGCTAACTCTTGAAAGCATGCACACGTTGATGCCTGTGTGGAATTCAAAGGACAATTTTCAGGAGGAGGTTCTAGCCTTCTACCCTGTGGGCTGTAGGGATCAAACTCAGGTTATTAGACTTGGCAGTATGTGCCTTTACCCTGGGGCTATCTTGCAGGCCAGCCTTCAGCTGACTTGTGCCATTAGAGGCACCATTGGCCTATAGGTGCACTGAAATATTAGGCATTCCATTAACCCAGGAAACTGATGAGAAGTTTTGAACCCCAATCATCCTTGATGGATGTAGGTTGCTTGTGACTTTGCTCAATTTCTTCCTTTTAAAGGAAGCCTATGCCTGTCAAAAATGTATATGGATTCTGATTATATCCCCCAGTACCTTCAGCATACCTTCTTGTTGGCCGTGCCTGCATCCAGGCACTGATTAAAATAAAACAAAATATTGCAGGTCTGTGGCATTTGCTGGAAACCTCCCTTCAGATTGATATAAACCCAACTCGTACTGTGAAACAGACTGGTTTAATTTTCAAAGAGCAAGACAAACTCATTCCCAGGAAAATCATACACAGTTGGTTTCACTCAGCAATAATTGGACAGTATTGTCTTTTGACCAAACATGTCACTTAATTAAAATGAACAGGGTTCACATTGTGAAATTGGAGTTATGAGTCTCCATCAGTTTCCTGGGTTAATGGAATGCCTGATCATTCAGTGCACCTGTATGCCCATGGTGCCTCTAGTGGCACAGGGCAGCCAAAGGCTAGCCACCTTCTGTTGCAGGACAGCTGCTCTCCAGGTGGCCTTGGAGTAACCCAACTTTTTCTTGTTTCTTGCTTTTGAGATTGCTACAGAATATGCTTGGAATGCAATATTCTGAGATAAGAAGGAAGAGCCTGAAAAGGCCCCAGTCCCAGCCCCAGCCTTGCTCCTGTCCTTCCTAAGGAACACATCTGAAGTTAGGGAGGAACTGGCCAGACTTTGTTCCTTTGTCCTACAAGCACAATATACGTCAAACATTTGTAAATGACACACATTGTTTTTAAGATAAAAAATGGGGGTCTTCTACTGTGGTCAAAGTGTGGTATGAATACTTAATTTTTTGAGACAGAGTCTCACTAGATGTTCAAGCTAGCTTGGAGCTTGCTATATACTCCAGACTGGCCTGAAACTCATGATCGTCTTGCCTTAGCCTCCTCAGTAGCCGGGTTACAAGCATGTGAACTTCATGCACCCTGAGTAGCTTTCTTGGGCCTTGAAAGACTAGCTCTCAATGGATCCTGGATACTTTTGATCTTTGCTGCCCGTTGAAAATGAACAAATTCACTTCACTTAACTTGTGTATATGTTCTGTCTTCCTGGGGTCAACATACTGTGAGTGAGCCTGCTTTACATATACAGTGTCCTGTCATTGATAAGAAATCATGGAGACAGTAAGATCCAAGGAAAAAGCTGTGTAAGCAATAAACCCAGGGGTAATCTCTGAGTCTTCTGTCTCAGGAAGTTTTCATATCTAAACAATTCCCCATTCTGCTGATCCTGAATCTTAGTAGGTCTGTCAAATCCAAGCTTTGTGTCGCTACCCAGGTGGCAGGCCTTTATCACTTCTCTACTAGATCATTGCTGTAGCAGTGTCTCAGGTCACTTGTATGCATCCAGTCCCATGCTCCTTCCACAGTCCTACAAGAAATACATCTGACCTGTCATTCTCCAGTACATCCTCTCTCAAAGATGTTATTAAAAACCCAGGTCTTCTGCATTAGACATAGCCACATGGAGCCCAGCTTGCTTTTTGTCCAGTCTAATCTCTAATGAGCGTACCCTTTACTGTGCTAATTTGGGGATACTGACAATTGACAAAATTGATGTTTTGATTGGTACAACCAGAAGGAGCAGTTAGTATTGGTTTTCAATGGTTTGAATCTAGAATATCACTAAGCAGTTTTCAAGGCCAAGCACCCTACAACAAAGAATCATTCATCCAGCAAACGGCAAC